CCCCAAAACCCCAAAACCCCGTTTGGCAATCTTCAATTTAAATCTTAGGTAAAATCAGAACTGCATATATTTCTAATTAATTTTGTATTATATTTGATATCTAAATAAACGAATTCAAGATCAAATTCAAACTACATAGAATTATTTCTTTCTTTTTGTAATTTATTATAATTCTTAATCATCTGAATCTAAAACACTCTCCTTTTATTTTATCTAATCATGATTATAATTTGTACAGATATTTCTTAAATTTAAAGTCTCAATTTTATTAGCATGCTTCTCAAATCTATTTTGGTTTAAAATGCCAGGATGTTTTGGATTCATTTTAAAATTTTTACTATTCAAACTTTCCCAAGATTAAGATTTATCTAGAACTTAATTATCGATACTACTAAGGTGATGACTCTAATCTATAACTGGATTTTCTAATTTCTTTTGATTTTCTCGAGGGGAATGGCTTATAATTTCATTTTCAATTATTGGATATTACATTCTTTTAACTTTCTAATAACTTTCAATGAGTTATTAATCTTATGATGTATTTGTAATATATTTAATGTCACTTTAAAAGTAATCTTATGATTTCTAATCCTAATACTTCGCTTGCTATTATGATTTCTTTGACTTCTATATTTTTTCTTTGATATATTAAATTAATGATAAAATACAACTTGTAACAAATGTTGTAAAGTTAGCTACAATTACAAGTAAAATTATCGATAAAATCACATATCCAAAATCAAATCTCATCTAAATATCTTAGTAGTAATCAGTGTATACAATAAGAGAGCACATAATGATAAAGAGACTTAACTCATTGAGTATTTCAATTAGATTATCAGATTGCTTTTGATAGGGCTTAAATTTAAAAAGATAAATAAGATGAGCAAAACTGACTAATATCTAAATCTGCAATTATATCCCTTGATATTAATCTAAGAATACTATACTAAGTACATATATTATTCGTCTCATTATATAAATCACAACATTCTAATAGCATATTTGCTTATCCAATCTTAAGTTTTGGTATAAAGAACCAAATGTTTGTTAAAATTTAGATTCCTTTAGTTACAATCAGTTTTTCTAAATAAAATAATATAATAGCCCAGGTGTAGCAGTGAAAAATCCAAATATGACTATAATTAAAAGGATTTAAGCTATAGGTTCATCGATCTCATTAATGTTCTAAATAAGAGCATGTAAATTTTATCTAAATATTTACATACTCTCTATAATCCCATTGTAAGACAAAGATAATTCTTAATAAACCCCTTGAGAAATATTTGAATCATAGTAGAAAGGAAGATTAACTTCAATATCGTATTTATTGTTGATTTTAACCTAATATATATAATCATCATTAAGGATTCAATGCTTACTTGTTTTTAATAATTCTAGCTAATACTATAGCAGTTAAGATAAATAAAGTAATCAGTCCAACTTAAATTGAAGCAAATATAAGTGTTCTATATAATTAGTCTTGACTATATCTTAAACAAGTTAATATTAATTTTCAATAAATGTGTTATCAAAAGATATCCATCTAAGAAAATGCCTGCTTTGTATTATCAGAATGATTAATCAATTCGCCAAGAATTAAGTTTTAAATTTCTTGAGGTATCAAATTCAAATTTGAAATATCAATTACACATTACAAGCATATCATCAAATTAGATGATATCACTGTTGATAATAAGGGTATATGAGTAATGATCTAAAGCGTATTTACTAATGCCCAAATCCTTTTCATTGTAAATCCTAGTAATAACTACAAAAGCATATTAATATATACTCCTGCTTATATAGCATTTCCAAATAATTAAAAAGATTTCTCAAAATTTCTCATTGTTGCTAATAAAATGACTTTAAATAAATCAAGCTTACTAGAATTAGATTACTAAACTGGAATAAAAGATTATACTTATTAACCCTTTTTTGCAAGATATTCACCTTTTTCATTAAAGAGATAATTTGGATATTTAAAAGTTATCTGTAGTCTGTCATCACCCTAATAAAATATGCAGATAAAGAAAAAAGACTTACGTTAAGAGAAGAAACTTGCTCTGGATAATCAAAATAAAGTTAGATCATGACTATCTACTTGTCTATATTTTCTATCTTTTAATTTATAATATTAGCTTTGGTTTTATAATCTTAAATTAATGCAATTTTTAGTGATTCTAAGAGCAGTGTTTTGTTTAATTTTTCGTATTAGTAAATTGACTGACTGAATTATAGGGTTACCAACCCTCACATATTTATACTTCTTATTTTGACTGTACATTTTCCATTTTAAAGGCACAGATTTTGCTTTACTCTTGTCGAAGTGTTATCGTCTGTTAAGTGCAGAGTAAAACTAAATAACACTTTTACTTTACCATTTTAATCAGTATATTTTAATTATATCACATAATCTCCCTCATCATTATAAGTTGGATTAAAGACAATTTTGGTTTAATCAAAAGAGGTAAATTAACTTGCTTTTCCAGCATCAATAATACCCCTCAATTTATATTATTACATAATATCTGTGATACAAGATGGCAAATTATACTCAAAAGATACCATCTGATTTTAATTCAGATCATCTAGTTTACAATCACTGATTTAAATCTCATTTTCAGTTTTTTTCTTATTAATACTAATACTTATAAATACTTGCTTTAGCCTGCTACCATTTTCATCATTCATATTTAGGATAGCTGAATGAGAACCTATGTTGGTATCACTTGCTGAGCATAAGACTTTTAATTAAGAGTTTTAAGAATCTAAAATAAAAATGTCGCTTTTAAATCCCATTTCTAGTTATTTAGCCAAATCACATTCATTATTATCTAAGCTGTAAATTTGGTCATATAATACTGCAAATCCACTCTCTCCTTGAGTACATTCAAATCCAAATTAAGTTTGTTTCCATGCTATTGAACTGAAATCACACTGAAGTATAATCTTAAATGATGTAGTGCTGCTCATATACTTGTCATAGTTGTATACATTTAAAGTCAGATTATTTATAATGTTAGTTTCATTCATGGTTTCTGTAATTTCAAAGTATTTATGAGTTTTATTCAAGTCAAAAATTCCTGTGTTGTCCAGACTAGGCTTGTGAAGTTAATCTATATAGTAGGAAAGTTGAAATGGACAAAAATTAGCGTCATAATTGCTTTGAAACTAATTTGTTGGGAAAACTATCTTTTAAGCTATCTTTGTACCTAAATATGAGTTAAGACTAATTTAATTACCTCTTGTTAAATAGTAAGATTAATTTAATTGGCTTTAAGGTATTTGTTTGCATGCTTTTTCATTTTGATCAAACTAATTTGGATCTATAGATGGACTAATGAGCAAAGAATCTGAATCAGGACCAAAAGGATCTTCAAATTCTATTAATTCAAATTTATTCATTGCTATTATTTCTAAAGTTATTTTGTCTAAATTTGCTTTTTCCACTAACGTAAACTTATTATTAGTAGAGAAACAGATGTTTTATGAGCTAGTTAAGAAAATAAACGAAAGGTATTAGTCACGATTTTCATACAAGCAGTCTATAAATTCATAAGCATAGCCATACACATAGTAATCATATCCAAACTCCTTGGAGAAATAGCTTTTAAATTTTATAGGATTAGAACGCGTAGCTTCAAAATATAACCTCATTACTGAGTATGAGTTATCTTAAAGAGTGTATTTAACTCTGAAACCTGTTTAGCCTTGCTCACTTGAGCCATAAATTAATGCTTCTTTACCATCATATGATATAGATGTGCAAAATGGTTATCCCATACTTGAAATATTTTCCTGATTGGATACCATCAAGAACTTTAGTTTTTATCCAATCCAAGAGGTAGATATAGGGCTACTAAGTGTAGGGTTCTCATAAATATATAAATTTAGATAATTATACATATCAGTTAAGCATACGGCCTCTTAAGATTCAAATCCATCTAATAGCATCATTAGTTTACTGTTCATGATATAGAGAATATATTTTACTTACCTGTTGCACCTGTCCCATCTTATATTGTTTCAGTACCAAATTTTAATAAATAGTAGTTTTAAGAATCAACATTGTTCTCCAGAGGTTTTTTGAACAGAACCATTCCAATTATTCAATCTTCAAGCTAAAGCATTATTCTAGGGAAGTTTTTCATCTTGAGATTCGATTGTATTATTTATACATTCCATGCATAGTCTTGCATTTTAAGATACCTACCAAAAAAATATATTTAAAAAATTACCTCATTGCTTTGTAAAATTAACCACTTGCTTGCCATTCATATGCTATCATAATTCCATTTAATCCATTTCCATTTTAATAAATCAGTCGATATATAATTGTATTACCACCACCATAACATAAAATCTAATTCATAATACTTTATCCTGGTAAATTTTATCCTTGTGATATTTATGCTTGTAATTTTCTAATCCTTCACCCGCCTTTAATCAAATTTCTACCTCCACCATTTTCATCACCCTAATTAGTTGAGGATTAACTTTAAATATAGATCTTATATTCAATATCATTTAATTTACTTGAATTCATCCTAGTTAAAAACAGCAGCTCACTATGCTTAGTATTATATACTATTATGATCTTTAAAAGAGGTGCGTAAAGTATTTGGTCTAAACTTCTGGATTAAAGCAAATCAATACTTTTGACAATTCCATCTTATATTGTCATAATAAAATCTTATTCTTAATTCTAATCATTATTTACTAACTAGCCAGTTCCATATAATAACCCATTTTCATCAAATACAATGCTCTGCAATTTAAAAGATTGTTGATTACTCTAAATTACCCATGGATAGTAATCATCATACAACTATAGACTTCTTTGAGTAAGCAAGCAGAGGCAGAAGCAAAATTAGATAATGACTCTTTTCTGCATTTAATCCCACTGTTTTAAAATATTATGATTAATACCAATTATTTCCAATTTAATTATATTTTCCATATTATTAACCTCATGGGGTTTTGGGGTTTTGGGGTTTTGGGG